TTCTCCAGAGACTTGTAGAAATGATAATTCCTTTGGTAGATAGGATCAAAGCTTTAAAAAAGTATTAAAATAGGATTTGGAAAGCAGAGTGTAATCCCCATAGAGTACTAGTTTCGTGAAAGATCAAAATTCAGGGTGTCTTTACTCCACAATATTGCTTAAACATATTTTGTGTAACTAATATATCCAGGCAATATTACTTTCAGTAATTAAAAATACATATTTCTGGCTTCTTGAAAATCAGAACAGCTAACAATGGCAGGTGTTAAATTTAGGCTGTTTGTACTCCATACAGGATGAAGAAGATTGGACGAATTCATACCACTGCCTGTGGGAGAAAAATGCTTAAGTGTGTCAGACATATATTTCTTTTCCTAGAATCAACAGCTCTTTACTAAGTCCAAGCTCACTGACAGATACAGACATTTACCATGATGAAGAGAACAGATTCCATAGCTTTCTTTACATTTTTGCTCTCCAGACTCTTACGTTAAGCTTTGAAAGAGGGAATATGTTTCTAGTCAAAATCACATCATTGAAAAATGCATGTTACCACATAGATAGCATTTTGTGAGATCATTTGTATAAAAAGACAAAGATTCTAGTTCTAGTTTCATTTTAAAAGCTTCTGAAAATGGAAAGTAAGAAAGATTGGAGAGCATGTATTTACACACAAAAAGAATAAAAGACCTTCTAATAATCCAGATGAAGGAGTAATGAGTATATTCAGTAGCTTTCAAAGACAGGATTCTGATGAGATTTAACTGGACAGCTAAAAGACATCTAATGAAGTTAAAAGTTGACAAATGCAAAGCAATTAAGATGTGATGGTAAAAAGCCCAAGTTATTCTTCCTAAATTAAGCATATGAAAGCTTAATGTAGGACACTTAAAAGCACCACAAAGTCCTAGGCAGCTCATTCTATCTGCTGAATGAGCAGAGATTGAAGAAAAAAAAGAAAAAAAAAAAAAGAGAGAACATTGACAAAGAAAATGCGACTTTTATTGTTTGACAAATCTAAGTCTGAAAGTATTCAAATTCCATTACAGAAATTAATACAGCAGTTTCATGTAGAGTCTTTAGCTATGCTATTTGTGAAATGATATCACAGGATTAGAATAGGACCAAAAAACTCAGAGTGAAGGATTACAAGCCAAGAACTTTGCAGTCAGGACTGACTATATCAGCTATAGATATCAGCATTATAGACCATATAAGCTTACATACAAGGAAAACAATGGACAATGTAATACGATTGTACTGGCTTGTCAATTCTTTAACCTATTCTAAGAGTTTAGTAATTCAGATGGACAGGAAGAAACAAACTCTGATCTTAACTCAGAGCAAGTGGTGGTCAGATCTCAGCAGTGGTACTGCCACCAGTTCAGATCATAAGCTGAAAAAAGGGTGTCTATAGCTAATCGATATCCATCTATGAAAATCTGTTGAGATGTCAGCCAACAGGCCAATTGTTTACACACTGCAGTGTATTTTATGGACTAAGACATTTGGAGGAGAGCTGCTGTCCTCTGTAAGATACAGAGCCTTTCAAAATTGTATCTGTAGCTGTTTTAAATAAGAATTATCTTTGGTATTATAGACAAAGCTGTAGAGAGTAAGTTTGTAGGTAAAGTTCCAGGAAGTAAGGGTTGGACCTAACTGAATTGCTTGGTGAAAAAAGGATTCCACAGAAAGACGTGAGATTATTTTACTTATGTGATAGTGTCTCACGCTGAATGGATTTTGGCTTTGAATGTAACAAGTAATCAAGACAAGTACTACCAGTAATAGACTTAGCACTATCAAGAACAGCATAGCTTAAATAAAGTAAAGCAGATGCAGTTCTGGTCTGATAAGCACAAGAAAGGAAGATGTGCAACTATATGGATGCTTACCACAGGATAGTTTAGAGTCTGTTTACAACTGGCAGTCCTGCCAGGGAGCTATGGCTCCTCCAGTAAGTCCTCATTTAGACAAACAGCTGTGCTAGGGTTCATTCTAATTCTAAAAACCCCAAACAACACACACTAGTGCTCAGGCTTTTTTATGGAATTAGGCATCTTCCACAAAGATGCAACGGAATATGTACATGCATGTGTGCTAGAACACATGAGCATATGGAGCACTGAAGTTATGCACTGATACAGATGCTGTAAGTCAAATTTGGAAACAGATTCCGTAAGTGTACTACATAAACCAGCAAAAAACCTGGTATAAGTATGTATAGAAAAATACAAAAGGGCTTTCATATTCCATCACCTATTCTGTACGTTAATCTAACTTAAAGTACTGCTCAAAAAGTATACTATGTAAATATTAAATGCTAAATTTTGTATACTAAGTAATGATGTGGTTGCCTGTCTTTTCAGGAAATGGCGAACACAGAAATTCAGGGTGTAAGCACAGTTGTCCTTTGATGCTGTACAAAGCTTTCCAAGAATACTGGCTTGTACGTCGGCAGACTGCCACACTAGGATGCTGGAAAGGAGCTTACTAGTGGTTGCATAGAGTCTGCCCTCAAATCCTGGTTAAACCTAGAAAATGCACGCTAATTAGACTCACAGGATAACACTTCCACTGCCTTTCCTTCTTCTGCCAGCTAGAATAAAGTGAATTACTTATTTCACAGCCTTTTTGAATCATATATGCTTTTTTCTAGAACACTTGGAGTCCTTCATTAAAAAATTCCACGGGTCCTGGAAAGAGCATTCTGTGGCTTAACCCTGTCAGGCTCCAGTGACATAAAAAGCATTGCTCTATAAAAGTATGCATTATTATTGTCAACAAAATTCTGTTTTGGCATGTATGCTGATCCTAGTTACTTTTAACGGCAAAACTCCAAAGAGAAAAAGATTGATATTATGCAAATGAAGGTCAGAGAGAGTTTAAATACACCAGAATAGGAGAGAGACTTAAAATATGGCATTTATAAAAGAGATACTCTAGTTTAGCAGCATGAAGTATTTCTTATTGAATAATTCAAGAGAGTCTGGTTAAGAACCCTAACCTAAGTGCTAATTAGCCACAGCAACATACTTACTTTCAACAAAAATATAAAATAAGATCTAAATAATGACCATTTCCAGTGGCAAAAGATGAAGTTCTCTAATTTATCTCTGAAAAAAGACACTAGAAGAGAAACAAAATGAAAGGGGAGCTTTAAAAGAAAAAAGCATTTCAAAAGCTAGGTTCCTGCGGGCATTTCAGTGCCTAGGGCATACTGCTCTCATTAGCCCTTGGAACTCGTCATTGCAAGAGCGAGATGATTATTTCTCTGTAGGAGAAACCTCTTCTACGCCAGTAAACATAGAATAAAAGTTGCACATTTTCTAAACTGAGGTATGCATACATTTGGACTGAGAAAGCAGCACACCAGAACCCATATATTACTTTTTTAAAGAAAAAAGGGACAAACTGAGCCTGCGCAATTCTTTGAAACTGAGCTGAGAAACTCCTGCAGCAGCTGATTACACAGTACCCTGCCATAACATGTTTTTCACAGTTTAGTACATCACATTATTCCACAACTGGAAACTGAGGGGATACGAGACCTATTTATAGAACTTACAAAATTTGATAACACAGAGCAGAAGGTCATTAAATCATAGATAAATGGAGAAAGGTTTCTTAATGGGAGTTATAGTGTGCTCAGTAAAACTGCTTCCACTGTTAACAGCTATATTACCTACAATAGTAAAATTACAAATCCAACAATAATACAACAGATAAACACTAGCTAATAAGCCATAAGCTTTCAATTGAATGCTTCCATTAAACATACATATATAATCTGCCTTTAAATTAAATGGCACCTGACTCATGCATTTTATTGTTCTAAATACTGCAGTCACACCAGCAGAGTATTTTCATAATAACGCTAAAACTGTTTTATTAACTTTTGTTCTGTGCATGTTTTAAGTGATTAGTAGTACTGGTCAAGGATGCAGAAGGACAGATGTTTAACTGGGAGTAAGAACAGAAGGGTCAGTTCTCAGTTGTCAAGTTTCAGGCAGAAGTTCAAGAGAATATATATTATAAATATGAAGTATTATATATAGTGAAGCTTATTTATTCTTGACTCTGAACCTTAGTTTATTTTTGATTTAGGTACACAGAAATGAAAAGACAGATCTTCATAAGAAGAAGGTAGTCTCTATTAAAAATCTTCAAGTCATGAGGATTATTTACATTTGAGAGAGTCAAGGCATTGTGTGTGGACTCAGCTGAAACTAAGATGTGAGCTCCTCCCTGCAACATTTCTCAGCAACAACACACCACCATAATCATGCCAAATTAGTCTGCTTGCAAATATGCTTTTCCTTTAAAGAGACATTTGCCTTGTAATTTCCAGCACCCCATTAAACTTTTTAAAAATTTCATTTCAGGGACAGAACTATAGATATTACTGCAATCTTCTTCCTGTATTTGCTTCTTCACATTCATATAGACACAATCTTTCTACCTTCCTTAGCATCTGTTTAAGTATTTGCATATTTTGTCACACAATATAATCAAAATAAAGTCTCTACATCCTTATTATTATACATTTCCAGTATCTTCATTTCCAGTATTTGAGACACAAACCTGGTGAAACCAGAAGCTGTATAGTGTCAGTGAAATTCTGTGAATCCATATTTAGAAAGCTACCAGCTCCTAAGAACATAATGTTCTGCTGGTTCTCTCTTTCTCTGCATAGAGCTCAGCAGTCTTGCATTCAGTCATCTTCACTTCTATAAAGTGGGGTTCCATCTCTCAAAAAAGGCTATTATGGCTGTATCCCCATTTGACATTGACATCGTAACTATACAATGTATAATGCAATGGGGCCACTGGGACACAGTTTTCTTCTAACTATCAGAAAAAAACTAAGATAAAAGTCTCTGGAAAAGTTTAAGAAGTTTTAGAATACAGTATTTATTTGGAAAGCAGCTGAAAACTAAGTAATTTCTCATTAGTTCTTTCTTCTGCTGCTTAATGAGCGTTTTTTCTTTTTAACTTACCAGGCATTATAATATTGGAAAAACCTAGTTTCCTTGTTATGGATACTCCATGGGTAAACATGGATGTATACTCTCTCCTAATTTGTTCTATGTCTCCATGAAGCAGCTGTAGAGAAACTGCCAGACCTGCAAATGAAGAGAAAAACAAGGAAAAATAAGACATTCAAACAGATTATGGTCATCACTACTTCTTAAACATTATATATACTTGAAAGTATATATGCATTCCTGATAACTCAGAAAATTCAGAGGAAGTTCAATAATACCAAACCAACCCACCCCAAATATTTTATGTATTTGGGAAGGGTACCAACATCCAGAAATCAATAAAGACTTGAAAACAAATACCCATGAAAAAGCATTAGCAAATTATTACTGATGTTTAACTGAACTATGATGACATGTCAGATCAAAACTATCTCAATAGGGATGAACTGAGGCCTTAACTGGAAAAAGAATTAGAAAATTGTCAATTTAGAGAAAAGTCAGTCAGTAATATTTGCTACCATTTCAATTCTTCACTTCCTTCAACACAGTGCTGCCTTTATTGGCATGCAAAAAAAGGTGCAAACACAACGGCCCCAAGTATGGGAGAAACATGGAAGTCTTGCTACAATGCATCACTTAGCCTGATACAAAATTATACAACTTATTAATCCAAAATCTGAAGAAACAAACTCTAATAAACCAATATAGCATAATAATATTTTTTACTTAGGCACAGTAATTTCATAATGACTGAAATTACAACTTTTTTCCAATATTCATCAGATTTAATCAATCATACTCTTTCCTGTTTGCTAGAAGACATGCAAAATGCAAAGGTGGCCATCATTTTCCAATATTTATTCCTCTAGAACCAAAGAAGAATAACTTCATCTGCTATATCTGCAATACACAACTAAATTGCAAACAGTATACTTCATTACAGCTGACATTAACAAAAACAACAGGCATGCCTTTTCATTATTTCAAATATATTCACTGAGGGTAGTGTCAGGATAATACAGCTCATAAAGATTAATCTTCCCTGGCCTTCAACATTACTACTGCATATCATATGTCCACATACAGATCAAGGAGAAGATAAGAGCAGATTCTTCATAAGCACCGAACAACTGGAGATAAACAGACAACTCAGAAGAGTCATAATTAACTTTAGATTAAGCTTAGGTAAATAACATGTACACACAGACTGAATAACAAGGTCACCGGTCCTTTGGGCTTTGGAAGAAATTTCCCCTACAACCATGTTGCTATTTAACTGAATAAATTTACTTGAAGTTTGGTGGTTCTTAAATCAGAGCTTGAAAAATCTGTACTAAGTAATGCCAGTCCAGGCTACTGCACTAAAGAGATCAGAGATCTAATTAGTATAATAACTTTTATCTTTTTCCTCTTATCTACACTTACATTTTATTATTTTGGCAACTCCAGAGAATGTGATACTCTGACCAGCCCTCCATTGTCTTATGAAAAACAGCTCACCTACATACCCCTGAGTACATAAACAAATCTTACAAGGAAAAACATTCAGTGAAGTCTATTCTATTTTAAGGACTGTATTTAATGTGATGGACATTAATTATTTTGGTAATGGGAATTTGTTCTGTGGTTATCCCAGTTAACAACTTTTAGGAAGTAGTGACAATTACTATTGGTGTAGATGAGAAAACAAGCCACACTGTGGCCAACTGATGGTACAGCAGGTTGGTAACAAGTCCTGCAGGAAAAATTCAGACTCTCTTAGAGCAGGTAAAAGTTTTCCATTGCTGGATGGAAAGAGCTAGGCTGGGTATAGCTCACTTACAAATATGGATATTCAGCCCACCTCCATTCTTGTTTCTTTTATATTTTAAGAAATTGTTATACATACATATGTATATTCATACCCCCATATGCCCCTATTGCACTGTTTCCTTGGAAACCTAAAAAGACATTTGCCATTGCTCCAGATCACATCAACCACAACAGCGTTAATCAGATATTGTACACCGCCTGGTGTTGAGTAAAGTTATTGTGTTTTCCAAACAAAAAGTTGAAGACCTCAAATCCAATTAGTACTACAGTTTTCTCTGTGTACAAATTTCACAGATTTCCTTGAAGAATTCTATTTACCTCAAAAATGAGATAAATGTTGCAAAACTTCATCAATGGCAAAATAGTTTTAACGTGAGAAATAAGCTGCCTGTTAAGGATTTGAAGTACTTGCTCATGCAAGGCAAGAAAAGTATTAGAGCTCTGTATTTCACGGCATTCATTATTAGAAAAATGAAAAGTCATCTCTTTATATACAAAAGCATCAACAAAATCTCTGAGTGAACACACTTAAAACATGGTTTAGTCATTTTACCTACAGTTTAAATATGTCCTTGGAATATAAATGGTAGTCATCTCCCAACTCTTCAGAATAATGAAGAATATTGGATTAAAGATAGCAAAGTTACTTGAAAATGTTATACGGTGTAAACAG